TGGTACCGACTGCCACATTGCCAAAATAACTTTCAGTTTTTTTTAGTTTTCCAGTTAATTGTTGAGACTTTTTCGAGAAATAGATATAATAACATAGGTAGATTCTAAGTTTGTCGACATTTTTCCAATTTTTTTCTCAATTTCTGCATGCTAGTTTTTCATGTTTTGTTCGTGTTGTATCGCAAGTGGTGCGAAGCTATTTGTGTTTAACTTTAGAGCCTAAAGTCATTTTGAGATTCAGAAAAATTGATAATTACGGCGAGGATAGAAAGAAACGAATTCGTCGAAATGCAAAACGCGGCCTTCGTGGTGGCTTTCTGTGTTTTATCAACAGGTTCTAGCTGCCTGACAATCCAAAAATGAAGTAAAATTGTTTCTAAATTTGTGCATGAAGTTAGTAATTTAAGCTTCAGAAATGTTGAAAAGATTTTTAGGAAATATTTTGATGTGGTCAGGGAATTCATTAACTCAGTAGCCCTGTATCGAATGGAGCATTTTTCGATATCTGTTCGAAAAGAGATGATTATAATTAAATTTTGGCGGGCTCGGAGGTTTGTGTACCTTTAACTCTCGAAAAAAAATATGTCCTTTAGATAACATTCATTATGGAATTATAGACGGCAATCAGTACAAATTGGAGGTCATTTTAAATATGGAGCTCATACACTGACAGTGCTTCAGTTTTGGAAAATACGTCGTCCGTTGAATGCCTACGGTTACAAAAAAGAATAAATTTTCTACTGTATTTTGAAAATATGACTTTAAAGTAAAATTGCATCAACTGTATACAGTGTTGGCATGTTTTAAACAAGGGGTGTTTTAAACATGTTTTAAACACTGTTTTAAACACTTGTTTTTTTTACATGTTTTTTTTTAATGTTTTTTTCTACTGAATCAATTATGAATCACTGGTTATTGAACAACCTTAGCAGGCATCTTTGTTTTCGGTCTCGCGTTGAAGTGGCTGACAATTGGCTTGGTTAGTTGGTTCTGAGAGAACGCGGTTATGTAAACACTCATTACGCTGGTAGCTAATTGAAGTGGCTGACAATTGGCTTGGTTAGTTGGTTCTGAGAGAACGCGGTTATGTAAACACTCATTACGCTGGTAGCTAAGTGTGCTATACTTTAACCGGGCAATTTTTTCAGATCGAGACCATGGCTACTACTGGTAGAAAAATGGATGCTATTTGGGGTGAATTTGAGAAAATTGCGGCAAACAAGGCAAAATGCCGGAGTTGTGGTTACGAGTGTGCTCCTTTAGTGGACAGATTGAAAGATGTAATCCAGCAAGTGTACGCTATTTCTGCGAACTGTGAGCTGGGAAATTTCTACAAGTCACAGGAAATTCTCGGAAATCTGGAAAAAGAACTTGTGGAGTTGGCTGTGACTCTGATCAGCATTGCTCCGTCGTCGGCCGGACTGGAGCGGGTATTCAGTTCAATGGGTTTTGTGCATTCTGATTTGCGCAACAGGCTAGCACCGGAAAAGGTCGGAAAACTAGCCTTCTGCTTGCGAGTTTTAAACGAAAAATTTTGATAAGAATTTTCGAATAAATTTTTCGTACTCCAGTTTTTAACACTTGAGATGTCGTGGGAGCAATTATACGTTGATCTGGGAAAAAAGGTGTTTTAAACATGTTTAAAACGTTTTAAACGTTTAAAACGTTTTTTATGGAAAAAAAACACAATTTTGCCAACACTGACTGTATATGAAAACACCTCGCTGAAGTTAATGCTTTACGTTGGATGAATAGTATTTGATCTGCTGATCTCAAGGCAAATTATGGCACAATTTGCCTTTAATAATATATTGCTGAGAAAGACGTTTAGAAACATGCTGAAATTGAGTTTGAAGTGCCAACTTCCAGACAACTTACTAACATTTTTTTTCTGCAGGTGTTTTAACCGAACAGGTTTTAAAGCAGTAAATGATTGATTTAGGCTTGCTTGAAAATGGAAATTTTCGTGTCTAAGTTTAATTGAATAGTTTCATCTAAGTTTCTAAGATTGAGCTCGTTAATGAAGTTTCCACTCGTTGTTTTCGCTTAAGTACTTAAATTTGATTTTGATGATTTAAAACAATATGATAGCAGTTCATTAAGCAGTCTTTTCTGCTCTATTGATATGAACACTTGAGACCGAGGAAAGAAAATTGCTTTTGATCTGGACTTGTCATGGCAAATAAGCTCAGCGACTACGGTAAGGGCATCTATAGTCGTGTGCTTTGTTCGGATTCCAAATGATTCAAAGTAGAAAATTCCTTATTTTTCCAAATAAAAGTATGCTCGATTGTACATTTGTTTTTCATAAATGTTGCTCAGCGGTATGCGAAGGGATATGGCTGAGTGACTGTTCATATAGAATTTTGAGCCTTCTTTCGGCCGAGGAAAAAATTCGATCTTTTATGTCATCTGGAAATTTTACTTGTAATAAAGGCTAGATAATGCGTTATGAGCTGGGATAGAGATCATCGTCTGATTTTGTAGACATCGATTTTTTATGCGGTAGATTTAATATGATTTAGAAAATTTAGATTTAAAAACAAATTATGTAACTTGAAGTTCTTAACCCTATGGTGGGATACTGCCAGATAACAATATAGGGAAGCAAAGCTGCCCTCCAATTTTATCTGCTCAAATAATTTTGATTTTTGAGATATGGCGTTTTTATGAAAAAGAAACCCCCTGATAGATGAGCCCAGTTCATGTTTTCCTTAGATTAGGGTCACTAAAATATCGATGTTTAAGTACATGCTTTAGGAAGCTATTTTTTGTTCAACGATCTATTTGAAGCACCGTCGGTGCGTGTCATGCGCTAGTCAATGAATAATTTTGGTCATGTCTACATTTTAAATACCCTTTCGATGCGAAATTTGATTTGAATGTTCTAGAAATTTTATCAATGCCGCTCGGGTATAATTTCAATTATATTTTTTCTATTTCTCTTTTATACTTGCAAAAGCAAGTGTCTTGTAATCGAGAATTACACTTTTTTTCCCGTAAACAACTTCTTAAACATTTATAAGAAATCGATGTTGCTTTATTATCGAACCTTAGCAACTTCCAGGGCCCTTACCGCTTAGCCTAGAGGTAATGCAGTTGCCTTTGCACTGTATGGTCTTGGGATCAAAACCCGGGTGGACCTTGTATTTTATTTCAATGTATGAAATTGAATTTTTTTCCGTGAAAACTCATACTGTAGTTTGTCGACTAATGGTTTGTCGGGTTAGTTGCTACACCGTGATTTTCTGCATTGTAAGCAGAATTTATTTTAGTTTAAAGTGTCGCTGGTTAATTTTTCTAGTTTTTTACTAACCATGATTTTATTATTTTTTTCTCTCCGAATTTTTGCTCGGCCTAAATGATTTCTATTTATGTTTTGTCAGTTCGGTGAAACTGTTTTGCATCGGTTTTACGGCAAAAATTGAAAAATTGATAGTTTTTGATTTGAATGATTGAGGTCTGTTGAATTATAAAAGTTCAAACAGTTTTATCGGTCACATTTCATCTTTTTAATGACATTTCCTTTCCAATTTTTTCCAATGACAATTTTTTTTCCGTTAAAATTTGCATTATCAGACTATAGTTTATCTACTCAAGTTTTGCGGGATTGTTTTCCACATCGCGAAGTTTGCTTGTGCTGTAACCACTTTCATTGTAGTTGCAAGTGTAATGTTATTCATTTTTGTTTCAGGGACACAGGCTCAACTTGTGTCTGCTCAAAGATAGTCGGCTTTGTTGCCTTCTATTGCTAATTTAATATTCAAATGTCTGTCATCTTTGGCTAAAATGAATTTTTATCGAGAAACTACATTGAATAACATTGAACTTGCAACTACAATGAAAATTGCTTACAGCAGAAGCAAATTTCGTCAAAATTTTGAAAGAAATAGTTTTTTTTTCATTTCAACCTTTTTCATTTTGTCTAATTATGTTTTTCATGTCCCTCCTCTCTGGGTTTTAATCGTATTTGTGGTCTCATATTGCATTGTTCGATGAGCGAACTTTTCTGTGTGTTTTGTGGGGCTTAATGAAGCTAATTTTCCCCTCTCAATCATTGTTCGCTGAAGTTTTTTTTTGGTTCTGACCCCGCTCCGTAAGTTATGTCTCGACACTATTTTAACATTCAGTTGTCTTGCTTAGATGAAGATATGAAACTTATAATAGGCGTATTTTTATCAATTTTCAGAAACTTTTGTCCTAATGCTTTCTCTCTTTTTTTTTCATTCGGGCAGTTGCCAAGATGTGTTCGTTTTTTGTATCGGAAGTGGTGCGAAACTTTAATTTGCATTTGTAATCCGTGTGGTTACGCTTGCGATTAGCAAGCTTTATTAAATCGTATTATAGACTTTTTCGTGTTAACGACTAGTTTAACAGAATCACTTGAATCATTTTACTTTTAGAAAAAGTCACTCGTTTATTCGCGCATGTGGCGAAAAGCTAACGCACTTGCCTTTAAGGACAAAAGCCAATGGTTGGAATCCTGCCAGGACCTGTTTTTTTTTGCAAGCTGAAAGTTGTCCGCGCGTCAAAAAATCTTTTTCGGACTTTTGTTTGTCTGCTTTTTCTTGTCGGCGTAGTTGCCGCAGCAAAAAATTTGCCTAAAATTTGGGGATTTTTTTCAAATTAAAAAATAATTCACTCAAATTAAAAAAAAACATTTCACTGTATTCAGGGCTGGGACAAGTAATTGAGTTTAAAGAAATTTTGCCTATTTTTTTGCTATTTGTAGATTTTTTTTTCATGCTGTTCATTAAAAGTTTTTGGAAGTTGCTTTCTTTGTAAACTCACGGAGTGTTCTTTGCGGTTGGCTGAAATGAAAAATCCTAGAAATTCGATTACAGTCGGGACCTGTTTTTTTTGTGGAAACTGAAAATTTTCGAATATTTTATTCTTTCGTGTCTGCTAATTTTTGTTGGCTTAGGTTCCGCAGAAAGGTTCGATTTGTTTTTAGCATTTTGAAAGCTCTTTGAAAAAATTATTTTGGTGCAAATAACTTGTTAAAGGAATTTTTTGTCCTTTTGCTATTTGTAATTTTTTTCGACAAAATTGTAAAGTTTTTAGTAGGTTTCTTTTTCAATTTTTGTTTTTTTTTCTCAATTGCCGGTAATCATAATCATCCATTTTGTATCGAAAGTGTGTCATAATTTCGCTTTCGCAATCATAATTGTTGCGATTCTCGGTTTCACCCCTATATATAGTTGACATCGGTTTTAAGTTTGCTTAACAATCCTTTCCGTCTGAGATGCAACCAATTCCATCATTTGAAATCAAGGTGACCTGTTGAGATTAACCTGCAAGGGGTTCCGGTTGTTCAGAAATCTAGGCACGTAAGCTTTTGTTTTAATTGTGTTACTTTTTCTCCTGTACATTTTGTTAAAGAGTTGCTAATTTGTGAGATGATTTGTTCCTTAAACAAGGATAAAAATTTGCCTTGCCTCTGACATGTACGAGTTTGAAGATGATTTATTACGTCTGTGAATCTTACTTTAATTTTAGTCGGCTTTTTCAGCCATGCTCTTAATATTGGAACATTTGGGAATGCTTTGGAACACTAGTAATGGAATGCTCTTAATAATTTCCTAGTTAGCTGTTGATCTTATTTCCTTGCCCGCAAAGAGCATTTTAAACTTAAATGAATAAGGTTAAACCGCTCTTTTTGTTTTCATTCTATACTACTTGTACTAAAGCTCTGCAAATACTATTTCTGACCAGCAGATGGTTGCGTATTTTTTCCTTTTCATCCGACTGAAAATGGTGCCATATAGTGAATTAAAACTCGTTACTCTCAGTAGATATCTATGTTAGATTCCTACAGCCGCTACTCTAAAACTAAGCGCTGCTTTTTTATGAATGGTAAATTTGTGAAATACCATGTTTTTTCTTAACAAAGCATTCCAAATTTTGCAATACGATTGAGAGTGAGCCAAATTTAGAGCTGAAACGTTGTAAGGATATTAAGACGGATGCTGGGAAAAAACAAAGTGTCTACTTCTTGCATTGCGCGCTCTCTTTGGTTTGAGTTTTATCCTGGTTTGTGCTTTCCTTTATACTTTTTTACCGCATTTTTTTTCCTTTTGCATTCCGCAAAAGCATTGCGTAATGTTTTTACATTATGCCTCACAACGTTAAAGTACTCGGCGCTTTATTGCTTTTTAGGACATTAAATTTTGATCCGAATTGTTACGATAGTGCCGTTAATTGTTTGACGCTGTCGCTGTGTTTATCAGGCAAGCTCTTGAATTAACCGCATTTTAAATATTTTGTCGATCACTTAATTGAAAATCTGGTTCGAGAGGTGAATTTCCGTACCAAAAATGTTTGCAAAAGAAGTCTGTGTTATCTGAGAAAAGTAAATATTTTGCTCAGTGTTACGGTTAGTTCCAAGTTTCGATCTGTAAACTTTGGTAGAAGCCCCGCGTTACTTTTTAACTTCGAAACGTACCGACTCAAACTGACTTTTTAGCTGATGTTTGGTTAGTTTTGTCAAACCGATTCAATTTTTTTTTCGAGTACCATTTCAAAGGTGAAAAATGGCGTGCTGTTCTATATACTGACAGCTTTTAACTATTTTATTATATATCTGCCAATCAGTATAGTTTGAGACATGGTAAAAATCGTGTTTAATCAAGACTTAGCGAACAATCAGTCCTTATATTAAGTCTTACTATTGTTGCTCTTATTTTACACACATTTACACAAATCGCCATTGGAGCTGTAACAATTATTACTTAGTGGCTTTAAACTTGTCATTATTTTACACCATTAAATTCTATTTGTTGACTGACATTATGGGATTGCTGAAACGATTAAGTCGTTCGAGGAGTTCCGAGAAGGTTCAAACAAACAAACAACATGCAAGCCAGCCGGCAAGTGAGCCCGGAATGCTAGGGCGTCTACCTAAATTTAGATCTAAAAGCAAAAGTTCGGGACTTGATTCAAGAACCTCTGTTGATATAAATACAACTTCATCTTCGCTGAACAAATCGAGTTCAGGCGAGGCACTATCTTTCAATCGAGTGCCCCAGGATCGATCCCCGATCGAGCCTACATCGTCTTCAGCGATGTCTCAATTGAGTTTTATGACCTTGCAACCTTCACGGAGTAGTTTTGGAATCCATTCTCTAGAACACAATCCAGATACATCTTTTGACCAACCTGTAGTGCGGAAACCCTTGGTACAATCCAGAAGACCGTTCTTACCTGCGGCTCCGAGGCCTCCAGTCAAAGAGAAGCAGCCAAATTCAATCCAATCTAGTAATCTGAGCCAGACAGGTAATGCTCCAAAACAAGATAACAGTTTTAATGGATCCTCAGATGCGCGGAGGTTCGATAAGCCGCTTATCATTGAGATACCGAGGATTGTTTGTGAGAGCTGCAAAGAGGCGTGCACTATAGAGGCCCTGAAAATCAATAATGTTTATTACCATCCGCACTGTTTTGTGTGCACTGCTTGTAATATTGAGTTGTCGTACAGTCCCTACTTTGCGAAAGAAGGAGGAATTTACTGCACTAAAGATTTCAATGCACTGTTCGGGACTAAGTGTCGATCGTGTAAAGATTACATTCAAGGAGATGTTGTGGCAGTTTTGGGTTTCACATACCATCCAGCGTGTTTCAACTGCACCCGCTGTGGGAAAAGTTTCGAAGCTGGCCAAGAAGTGATTATTGACAAGGAAGACACATATTGTGAAAACTGCCCCCCTACTCCTGGAATAAACCTGGAAGTGGAAATAGAGCAGCAGAGTCCAGTGGCTGTAGTTTTATGCAGTGGCTGTAAGCAGATAATTAGTGACATGTCGAAGTCTCTCTGTGCACTAGAAGGAAACTGGCATCCGCAATGCTTGAAATGTCACGCTTGTCAGAAACTTCTGACTAAAGGTAATTCTATGATTCATGATATCCAAATTGATCTATTTTGTCTGATAATATTTGACAATATTGTTATATGCCTGACTAATTTCCTTGTTTAGAATACTTTGTACAAGGACAAAAGATTTACTGCGAGCGCGATTATTTGAAGCAGTTCGGAGTGAAGTGCAATAATTGTGCGGAATATATAGTCGGAAAGGTTATCGAGGCGGGAAGCAAACGATACCATCCTACTTGTGCGCAATGCTCGGTCTGCGAGGGAATTTTCGCCGAAGGTCAGGATATGTTAGTCCACGGAGACGAAGTATGGCACCCGGCATGTAACTCGAGACACAGTGGCAACAAATCGTCTAGAAGTACTGCAAACGATTCCTTTCAAGAGTCCTCCATATACACTACCGATGATTTGAACATAAGTGACGACTTGAACTCAATCAACGTGGTAACACTGGACTATTCGGTCCCAGAAGAACTTTTAACTGAACTCCAAGAGGGAAAAGCCGAGCAAACCTCCTCACCCATTCCAACGAGTGAAGCAAGTTCCAGAATAGCACCGGCACCCAAAAAGTCTTCTCTTAAATCTCCTCCCATACTCAAGAATAAACAAAACAAACAAGAATTGTATGAGAATATTGAAATTCCGTATCCGAAGTTTCCGAATAAGTTTGCATCATCCTCAACAGCACAAACATCGGAACCTACTAGTAAATTTATTTCATTAACTCCCGACTTACGATCTAAAAACTGCAATCCATTCATACCAAACTCAACAAGCCTCTACGACATTCCATTTGGAGACGCCATTCCTGAATTCGAGCTTGAAATTTCACACGCATCAGCCAAGAAGTCAGAAACAGAAAGCGAAAGTATGAGTCATATGCCGAGATCGACAAGTTTTGATCGAAATAAAAAGTATTCGGTTCCGTTTTCGGCGCCTGTCATGAATGATAACATGTTTAGATCTAAGTCAAATGACAGGCTAAAAGTTTTCCAACCGAAAGGATCGGATGCTTATGTTGGAGGCTATCTCAACCCGGCCGAGCCATCGGATTTAGCTCCAGGATTGTTTCAAAGGTTTCCAAGTTTACGAAAGCAGCAATCAGAAGACAAGAGACGTCAGCGACAAACATCTTTCTCGCAACCTCCGAAAAGCACTGAAAATCTTTCAACAAGGCCCGGAAACTTAAATAAACGAAACAATTATACTCGTGGAACCTCGCTGGGGAACATACAAAGAGAGCAGCTTCAATCACGACGGAATAATTCTCAAGCGGAGCAGCTTAAAGAAGAAATGAAACGCAGCAACAACCCTGAGCCGCCCAGGTCCAAATCGTCATTTGATATTGGAAACAGATCAAGACGCGTGAATTCAGATGATTATACCGAGAACAGCGCGAAATGTTTCTACGATAAAGAGCGATTGAGTCGAAGTCGTATCGAGTTTTCGTTTAGTGCCTGTGACGAGGAAGATTCGCCCGATTCCAAATACGACGAGTATCTCACACGCTCGGGAATAGGGAAAGAATATCTGCAAAGCACGAAAGGAAAGTCAGCTAAAGCGAAATTAGAAGAGAGCTTGAAAGTTTCGGATGACCCGAGAGGCGCGTCTAGAGATCCAAGTGCTCTTCTACCACCGCCAAACCCTTTGAGATACAAGAATCCTTACCAAGCATCGCCGTCAAGAGTTTTGGGATACCTGGAAATCGAAAACGAAAGTGACGATACTATTGAACATAAATCAGAACTGACAGAGGTTTTCAGGTCTACGGGAAAAAAGCAGAAAGTTCGACCACCGAGAAATCGGGAAATGTCTGTAGGAAATGTAACTACTGATGATTCGGGACTGGACTGTTTCTCAGAACCAGAAGGGAGCAGGAAATCAGTGTCAACATCTCGACTACTGGATTCCCAAAAAGGTTACAGGTCTGATTTTGAGCCGGCAGAAACCTCAAGGAAGCAGAGAAAAAGTAATGAAAAGCGCGCGAAATTGCTTCATGATAATTTTATAAACTACATGAAGGCTGTTAAACATGGATTTATCTCTGCTTACGGCACTGAAGAGAATCTAGATGAGATTGAAAGTCTGAGCGCCGTCTCAGAAATTGTTCCTCTGAATTCAAATGGTAGAGAAGTGAAAATTTATTCGTTGAATCAACTTCAGACAACCAATAAAAAACTTCCCAAAGACGTGAAGAGAAAAAGCTTAGAAGTTCATCTATCAGAACAAGAGTTTTTCCTGACATTCCATATGACTCGTAACTCGTTCTACCAATTGCCTCTTTGGAAGCGAAACATTTTGAAGAAATTCAATTACCTTTTCTAGATGAACTGGAATATGGTTTCAGCAAAAACTGTTTCACAGAGTTTCAAATAATAAATACTACGCATTATGGATTAATTAGTACATTGTTGCAATATGAAAAAAATATATTTATTATTATTTATAATGAGTAGTTAGTACATGATATGATAGATTAACTTAAGATATAATAGCTGGAAATTTTTTAAGGTTGTAGTCTCTATGGAAGTCCAAAACCCATGCCTCTATTTGAACATTTGGCGGATAATTTTGATCTCTTTTCGCATTGGTCAACAGAAACCTTTAATCATTGGTGATATATTACAGTTAGTGGCAGATTCAAGTTAAATAGCTGGATTGATTTTTGTTGTACTTCGAACAGTTTTTATAATTTATTTCAAAGCCAAATTTTTTGGCAAAAGAGTAAAATTTGAATTTTTGAATAACATTTCATCTGGCAGCCCGGGTTGACGAAAAATGCTTATCATACAATTCTCGTAGCTGGAAAAAATGCTTATCATACTCTTTCAATTAATTTCATAGCAAAAGTAAGTGTATGAAAATAGCAAAATAGGCATTTTTTCCATACTATGAAATTTTATAAGCATTTTTTCTATACTCTGGAATTAAAATTTGAGTTTCTTCATCAATCTATTTATCCCCAAAAATGTATGAAAATAGCATAATAAGCATTTTTTCCATAAATGATCATACAAAAAATTTTGTTTTGAATTTTTGCGTTTCATCCGAAACATTAACCAAGGGTTTCTGTCATGAGGAAACCCAGAATGTAGCTGGCAGTTACCACGCAGATAAACTGCAATTGGTGATCTTTGCCATGTATGTTAATTTTAACATTTTCACATGGAAATATATATCAAAAAAAGTAACTTTTTGAATATGGCTAGATGTTTTTTTAGTTTGAAAATTTTGGTGGTTGAGAAAAAAAGTCCTGTTTTTTTTACAAATTTGTTTTTATCTTGGTAAATGAAACAAAAAAAATCATAATCGCATTTAAAGTAAAATCACTTTTTTATGATTTCAGGATTTTTTGGCTGAAAAACTCATCTGGACTACAATTTAAACACAAAAACAAAACAGGGATTAAAAGTTTTTTTACCTCAATTTTGTGTTTTTGATATATGAAAAAATGCATATCATATAATTTTCATGCATGAAAATTGTATGATAAGCATTTTTTATCGAAAATTTTAAATCACTTTTTTAACAACCAGAAAGCTTCAAAAGAAGCAAATAGACCAAAAATGTTCATTAAAATTTGTAAAAACACTTTAAAGTTTGTATGAATTTTATTGTATGATAAGCATTTTTCCATTGATTTCATATATGAAACTGTATGGTAAGCATTTTTCTTCTATGGACGTCAAACCGGGGGAGTAATGTAATACAAATATTATTTTAGTAGCTTGTACAATTGATTGAAAATGAACCGACTATATCATGCATAAGAGTTCTCAAATTTGATACATACACAACTCAATTATCTCAAATTACCACCTATTGTAACATATCACCTGATCATTTTTGCTTTCTTTCCCGGACCTTGTTTCGGGATCCTGATTTTCTGTTGATCTTTTTGAATTGTTTAGTCTAATGCATATATGATTTATATCTTTCTTTTAGAGTTCGATTAATATATTTAGACTACGGCGTTGTGGCATCAAAAACACTTTCAATAAAAACTTTCGGTTCAATTTTTGGTGTCAACTAGTTTAGTGTTTTTTTTTGGTATAAGACCAATACGACCAAAGGTATATGACCAATCAAATACTAAAATTTTAATCGTATGAAAAATTTCGTGTTTTTAAGAGTCGATGAACGTAGTTCAGACTCTTGTATAGGTCGCCATGATTTTTTTCCCGTTTTTTGTCTTAAATTTGTTCAGACTCATATTTAGTTTTTGTGGTTTGGCTTTTATTTTTTTAAAAGTTCAGTTCATTTCCTTCTTGAAAGGAAAACAAACTCCAATATTAAACAGCGAAAGTGTAAAGGTCACGTAAAAATTGATCGACTTTAATTTCCGAAAATAGAATTTAATTATCAGATTTCCCAGCGAAATAGTTTTTACCTATTGATCCAGTTTCTCAAATTGGGTTAATTGCATCAAAAAAGTGTCAATCATAAATTGTTCTAAAAAATCCAAGAGCTTTAAGGCCATATGTTTTTCTTTCGTGGAAATTTAAATCTTGAGACTTTTTTCAAAAAAGAAGTCTGTATTTTTGTTTACTTGCGTTCATTGACTCTTTTCTAACTGTCTGTTTTCTGTTTTGATTTTTATCAAGAATTTGTTTCTGTAAGTTAATTTTTTATCGCACTACTTGTCTCAACATATAAGTTATGAGCAGAAATTAACTGGCTACCTCAGAAGTACTGCGCGAGTGTGGTCAGTAGTTGGACTTGGTGGTCACTCCACTCCAACTTTCAAGTCAAATAAAGATGTTCAAGTAATTTCGTTCAATGTGGAAAAAATTTAAATACAAACCTTTTTGATTTGAATGAGAATAAAGTTTTTGATATTGTTAAAATTTTAGTATCATTAATTAGGAGCTACCATGAATTATAAAGAAATTTTAATACCAGCGGCAGGATTAAAATACGTATTAAAAGGCTGGAAAAGTTTTCCGCACATTCGAAAAACTTCAACTTCAAAATTATGTCTTTTTTGATCCCAGTTTTGGGTCCGAAGAAGGGCCTGCCCATTATTGTTATAGGTTTCACTTTTGGTTAAACGGATCAAGGAAGCTCTTCATAGTAGCATTGACTTGCTATTTGATTCGTATTTTCTCGGACTAAAATGTCTGATTAAATGTCAATGAATGTAGTGAAGACACTTGTTCAGGTTATGATAATCTATCCATCTATCTATCTATCTATCTATCTATCTATCTATCTATCTATTCTATATTTAAATGCCTCTGACAGCTATCTCTCCACGCTTAAGCTATACCAATTTTGCATGTTTAACGAAAGAATTTTTGAACGTTTTAGCTATTTTTGCCATGCTTAAGAATTTTTTTCTTCGATTTTTCAGTTTATGAACGCTAGGCTTATTGAAAAGCTCAATTGTAAGGCTGTAGCAATGATGCAAGCATGAGAGGGGAGGAGGAGGGCAGCGCAGTGCAAGTGTAATGTAAAGGGTGGATTCATCCATCTATACTTGATGAAACGGGCGTTTTTTCGTTTCAACGTTTATTTCAGTGAATTGGAAATTAGCTACCTTATAGTGGGGTGCTTTCAGGGTTGCCGCAGGGGTTGCGAAACTGGCATACAAATATGAATACCTAAATCTTTTGAGTTTCAGAGATATGCCATTTGTAAGATTTTTTTCAAAAATTTTAGATTTCAAAAGCGTCACAAAAATGAAAATTTCAACCCTATAGTAGGGTGCTGCCGGGGTATTCCAGGTTTTACAAAACTTGCTTCCGAATATTCTTGCTCAAATTTTTTTACTTTCCGAGATATGACGTTTTATATATATTTTTTTTTGAATTTTTCTGAAAGCATAGTTTTAAAACACTTTGACAAAATTTGAAATTCCGGAACCTATAGTGAGGTTCTGTCAGGATACTCTCAGGGGTGGCCAATCATGCTTCCAAAATAAGCCTGCTCAAATCTGTGTAGTTTCTGAGGTATGACGTTTTTTCTATTTTTGAAATTTTTTTAAATTTTAGATTTGAAACACATGACAGAATTTGAAATTTTGAACCCTATAGAGGGGTTTTGTCAGTGTACTCTTAGAGGTTGCAAATCTTCCATCCAATTCTGACAGCTAAAATTCTTTAAGCTTCCGATATATGACTTTTTCTATAATTTTTTAAAGAAGATGGGTTTGATAAAATTAGATATAAGTTCACAAATTTCGAAACTCAATCCTATAGTTGGTGCTGTCAGGGTACTCAGACAACGCGGCGAGTCTTGCCTCCAAAACTGGATGCTCACCGCCTTTTTACTCCAAGATTTGGTGCTCTCGTGACTTTTCGAAACCAAAAACATAACTATCTCAAACCTTGAAACAACTTCTTTTGGAAATTTGAAATTATCGATCTTTTGTTGTTTGATGTCGGGGTACTTGCGATGTTTGCTGAAATCTTTTCAGTTTCGAGATATGACAGTTTTTAATTTGAAAAATTATATAAAAAGCTCTGATTCAATAAAAAAAATTCGACCCTACGGCGATGTAATGTGAAATTACTCACACAGGTTGCAGATGTCTTCTTCAAATATTACGGCTCAGATCCTTTCAGTCTTCTGAGATCCACTCAGCCATCCATACATCCAACAAGCCAGCTCCCGTTTAGCTATCCTTCCAACGAGCAATCCATCCATCAAGCCATACACCCATCGATCCAGCCTTTTGTTCGTCAAGAGATCCATCCAGCCAACCAGCCATTAGGCCAGTTATTCATTGATCGGCTCATACCTGTAGCCATGCATCTATCAAGTCATCCATCTATCTAGCCATCTATCAAACCAGCCATCTATCCGTCTAGCCAGCCATCCGTCCAGCCATTTAATCATCAAGCCATTCATTCTTCAAGCAATCCATCCATCTAGCCATTAATATATCCAACCCGCCATCAAGCCAATGCATCCATCGACCCCTCCACCTGTCTAGCCCTCCTCAATACTACCATGCATCCACTCAACCAGCAATTCATCCATCCATCAAGCCACCATATATCTAGCCATCCATTCATTTTGCCATCCGTTCCTCCGAATAGCAATTCATTCAGCTAACGTTCCATTGATCCGGCATCCATCCTGTCTTCGTCCATCCCGGCAAGCAGTTTTCCAAATATCATTATAGAGATCTCAATTAGTCCTGCCATCTATTCATCCATTCAGTGATCCGCCCATATCAGCCAGCCATCAACCATCCGCCTGTCTATCCACACATTCAGCCAGTCCTCTGTCCAGCCATCAATCCATGTAGCTTTTCAACCAACCGGTCCTCCATCTATCTAGCCATCCATCCATCCTCTCATCTTTTCAGCCACCGATCCATCAAGCCATCCATCTAACTAGCCGTCCATCTAGACAACCATCCATGTGTCCTTCTAGCTATCCATCGTGCCTTCATTCCATCCTTCAATCATCCAGCCAATGATTCAAACATCCATTGATTAATTACATCCACAATCCAGCTGTCCTTAGAACCGGCTAAACATCTATCCATCTGACCGATTGTCCCTATTGTCCCGTTAGAGATAAATATTGTCATTTTTAGGAGCAGCTTGAGCTGCAGAGGGCCTGCTGGTTATTCTTAAAGGAAAAACCACTTACAATTACGCTCGAAATGGGTTTTCTGGGGTTTTGTTTTTTGAATTCCTTTCAAGTTCAATTCAAATTGATTAAGTAAAAAGACGAATTACGTTCTCCAATAAAGAAATCAGCGTTAATGGCGCAAACAAGTGAATGAATTTTAAAAGTTGGAAATTGCGTTATGATTTTACGACTTTCCAGTGGAGTGTAATTTAAAGAGCTTCAACGTGATATATACATTTTTTTTTCAAAAATGTATGAAGTTTAACTATATTTCGTGTTTTTTATTTTACTTCAGTTCGTTGATTATTTTCCCCTGTTTTGGTGGCTATGTTTCTAGATATTATTCAGTACCTTTAAAAATAATTGGGTTAGAACAGCTTCTTCCAGTAAATTTTAGATGTCATTTCGCCAAATATTTAAAGACAGCTTAATCTTAATTGAAAGCTAACCCGTTTGAAACAGAGTTCAAATCTTTTTGAACTCCAATTTTTTGTTGCGCTGGCGATAAGAAATAAATTTGAGCTTCTTCTGACTCTAGAGAGATTCATAGCTATTCTTGAATTTTTGCATAAGATCAGCAAGACTGCACGTATATCAGGACAAAGCCCTGAATATTCCAAATATCCCGGTAAAATATATTTTTTTAAATTTAAACTCAGGAAGTCGATATCTTCAATAAGGTATAAAAAATTTTGTTGAAAACTATTTTTTTTCGATCGGCGAAAGTTGACTGAATAAAAAACCACACCGAGCATAAATATTCCGTTTTCTTGGAAAGTCGGAACAATAACCAGCTATTACGTACAGCTAATGCTAAGGATATTAATACAGACTATTATATTACAAATAGCTCTTTAGCTTCAAGGTATCATGGATCTGTAGCGTAGAGGTAGGGAAGGAGACCCGCAACAAAAGAAGATGGTTCGAACCTGGGCAGGGTCGGAAGTTTTTGATGAACTTTTTCATATACTAGTTAAAATGCGTCCGCTTTATAAATTGAGGCATTATAGTTGGTAATTTTTTTTTTCAAATTGACTAGGACTGCTAATGCGTCATAATTGGCTTGCGTAATTTTTGTAGACTCAAAGTTTTACTCATTCAAATTTTCCCAGTAGCGTTCTCGGTTATATTTTTGCTTGTGTATGCGAAATGCAACTTCCCCTCTGTGTTAAAAACTCTTCTGAGAAAGAGTTTTCTTCTGAAATAAGTATGGATTAAAAATCTGTGCTAGATGGGGCTTCTGGAAGCCTCAAAAATTGTTTCGGAGTGAGAATCAACCTCAAATTAGTCTACGAAAAGAAAATCTTGAAAGATTTTTCGTCGCAGCTCAAATCATAATGAAAACTCTAAGTAAATCCCAAAGAAATAGGTCTGCATGACTGCATTACAACTTTCACTGTCTGATTTTTTTTTAGGTTGCTAGCTATGAACACATTTCGGGTAGCATTACGGAGCTTCGAGGAAAATCTCTGGCGAATCCTGGCTCCTATCAATAATCCAGCTCTTGCAGTTTCTGCTCTCAGTAATGGCCAATTATCCGTCACAGCTAATATTTGGGACCTTCTAAAAGACCCTTTCATGTTGATGGGAGCTCCTAGGAGCAAGCGAACTGCATATGTTGCAAGGCAAAGACGGAGAGCTCCCTCCAAATTGATTCCACTGAGACCTGACCTGGAACCATGCACAATTTGTGGGAATACAAAAATAAAGTTCTACTTGTGTACTCAATGTTTTCGGAGAATAATAAAGAAAACAAGAGAAATGCAGAAAAAAATGAAGGAAGTATACGAGAATCCGCTTAAACCTATTACCCATGAAGTGTCGCTGCTGTACGAAGATATAAAAGATAATGATAATGTTAAATCAGATGCAAGAAGTCAGAATAGGCAGAATGAACGTGGGGCTAAAAACAAATCTGAAACGACAAAATTTTGCCCAAAACATAATAAAGCTGAAGATGTTTCAGACAATACATTTAAAGAGACCCTAACGGATGAGGTTCCATCAGGGAAGCGAAAGAAGAAATCCTCATGGTTCTTCTAGTTAAGAAATTTATTCAACTGCTTGAATTGACTTTATTTGAACCAAAGCTGAGTCTTAAATTCCGCTATAAGAATTATCGGTGAATATTAGAACAAGCTGGAAATAAAAATAACCTGGTATGTTTTCAGATCACCGAATGGACTCTTTAAATATTGACAAACTTGTAGTACCAGAATTAGCGTCTCAATATGAAGATGTTTCAAAATCTGGAGCTGTTTTTACTCACAGGGAGAAATCACTAATTGAGCTTAAAGATTTATTGCAGTTATTTGAAATTGAGAATATCGATTTTGAACAAGTTACTTGGACAATTCAGCAAACAGCGAAGCTTCTTGCAGTTCTATTACAATTTACCGAGGAATCTGAATGGTCTACTGAAGAACATGTTCTGGTCAGCGATGCGCTGATAGGATTGATATGCAAACGGAACAATTTCACTAACTTGCAGACAATTATGTCTCATAAATCAGATGAAGATGCGTCTCTGATTTCAAAGATACCCTGTTTAAGCTTCAAGTTCCACCTAGATAGAGTTAAAAAAGACAACTTTGAAAGAAATCCAGCTGCTTGTTTTGCTTGTGAACAAATTATCATGGCAACCCAAGGTCGAAAAGTGGAATCGTGTCTTTCATTCTTTTTGCCTTTTACTTTGAACTACGTCGACCATTATTTGCAAGCCAATAAAACAAAGGGCATGAATCTCTTGACCCACACACTTAAGAACATTACGAGCTCTGAGTTACTTTTTACGGGTTTGGGCGACGTGTTTTATGAAACCCTGCATCGTTTGCTGTATTCAAACGAAGTCGAAATTCTAGAAGCCTTATTTCCATGCTTCTTTCTGTTACTCAGCAAAACATGTCGAAACCCTTCGTTCAGTGAAACGTATTTGAAGTGGACGAAATATGATGACTTTTGTACATTAATTTTGCAACATATGCGGTATGAGTCAGCAGCAAGGAAAATAATGGTGTTTATAGACGCAGTTCTAACAGCTTTGGCAGTTATGAAACTATCTGTCAGCAAACATGTTAAACTTATACTGCAAGTTCTGACCGAAAGTTGTGACGGGACTTCATTGGTTTGTGCAGAATTGGCCTTAAAGATTGTGGAATTATTGGACCAACTTAGTTTTATTCTTGGTGGGAAATTAGATCCTGTTTCTTGCGAAGGCATTTCGAAGTGTTTATTTCAACTGATTCTTGATTTCCAAGACAATATGGAAGTGACCGGAAAATGCAGCGAAGCACTCAAAGATTTGAGCACTAGAAATTTGCATGTTCGAGAAGCTTTGAAAGATTTGAAACGAGACAATTTGATAGAATTGGAAAATCTAAATCCACAATTGACAAAAATTTTATTGCAAATGGATAATTTGTGAAAAAAAAACAATTTAGGCTATTTTGTTTTTTATTTAATTTATTTCACAATTGAATAGGTATTGTTTTAAGTAGTAAACGCAATTTTATTTTTTAAAAAAGATCACTGGATCTCTTATTGGAGTCAAGCTCTGATCAAATTTCATGGTTGTTTTGCTAAAGACGTTGCGATAAGAATTACGGTTCTTGTGTTGGGCAATATGTGCACTTATTAAATGAATGTGCGCAGCATGAAAGTACCGTGTACAAGTACAGCTGTAGGTGACATGAAAGAGAAGGACACTGCTTTTCAGATAAGTTGAATGGTGCTATTGGTTCCGATGTCTATTAACCAAACTGTGGGAACTTGACACACATTCTCAGAAGTCGTTACGTGGCTTGAGTTTTCTACTCCGGGAGAGGTACTTGAAGTTAGTGCTAGAAATCCACTCGGTTGTCTCTTGTCGGCGACGTGTGGTGTGACCTTCAGACCTGGAAGGCGGGGCTGGAAAGGGGGCGGGGGTTGCCGGGGGAGCAGGTGGCCCGTCGGTTCCCCGCGGAGGTCAGCAGGGAGCGAATGCGAATCTGAATTTGGGAAGGGCTCGTGTGTACGCGGATGTGTGCACGCATAAGCCTAGAGATTACTGGGACTACGAGAATCACATAATAGAGTGGAGCAACCAGGATGACTACCAACTGGTGCGCAAACTGGGCAGAGGAAAATACAGTGAGGTGAGATGTTATTAATGTAGTTTAACACTATTTGCCACGAAGGAAATGACCAGCATACAACCTAATCATATCCTTACGGCGAAACGCTGTTGTGTCCTTTTAACTCTTACTTGCATTTTTTCTTCATCCTTTTTTGGGCTGCCAAAACTTTCGAGAACGAATCGGATCATGATGGGCCTCAAACCACCGACCTTTCGACTGAAAAGTAAAGACCTTTATCGCTTTCCCATCTCTCCCCATGCGAACAATAAGCAGCTTAATTCATAATAAAGAAGTGTACAGGAAATCCTGACGGTATGTATTTTAACTCATTTTTATCCTTGGAGCGCAGCGGAAACCATAAAATGATCAATCTATTTGGCGAAAGCTTCTGTCTTGTCTGTATTTTCGCCTGAGCTGTGAGTTTGATTTTTTCTTTAATTCGGTGAGTTTTCGTAGGTTTTTCAAGCGATCAATGTGAACTCAGAAAGTGGGTCTGAAAATGAAACTTGTGTGGTGAAGATCCTGAAACCCGTGAGCAAGAAAAAGATCAAGCGAGAGATCAAGATCCTGCAGAACTTGCACGGGGGACCCAACATCATCAAATTGCTAGCAGTGGTAAAGGATCCCATTTCGCGCACGCCCGCCATCATCACAGAGTTTATCAACAACATAGACTTCAAATCCCTATATCAGACACTGCAGGACTATGACATTAGGTCAGTCAGTCATCTTGATTTGAATTTAATTGTACGATTCATAACACAGTTGGTTGATAATACGTTTTTATAGCTTTTCTGTTGTGAGAAAACGAAAGTAATTTTACGCAGAAAGTGAAGTTTTTTGTTGTCCCTGTTGAGAGAATTGAGTGTGGTAATATTGATCAAAAATGAATTGCTTGTATTTTATTTAGATATTACTTGTTCGAACTGCTGAAGGCGCTCGACTTCTGTCACTCAATGGGCATAATGCACAGAGATGTGAAGCCGCACAACGTCATGATAGACAAGGAGACGAGGCAACTGCGCCTAATTGACTGGGGTCTGGCCGAATTCTACCACCCCGGTCAGGAGTACAACGTTCGGGTAGCCAGCAGATACTTCAAGGGTCCTGAACTGCTTGTAGACTATCAGTTGTATGACTACAGTCTAGGTTAGCTCCTAAATGTTTATCTTTGCACATCTACCATCGTTTTTGAAAGGCATAAACGTATATTTTGATAGTATTAACTACTGATTTTTTATTCCTCATTTCCTGAGTTAGAATTAACATGCGAAATTTTTGCTGCTTCATTACGATTGTGACAAAATGGGTTCCAAGAAACTCTCATTTAGATATGTGGTCATTGGGCTGTATGGTGGCTAGCATGATCTTCAGGAAGGAACCATTCTTCCAGGGCCACGACAACTACGACCAGCTGGTGAAGATAGTGAGAGTTCTGGGAACAGAAGAGTTCTACGACTACATCGATAAATATTCCATCGACCTCGACGTCAGGTTCAACGATATCCTCGGCCGACACTCGAAGAAGCGTTGGGACAGGTTCCGACATAGCGAGAACCAACACTTGGTTTCCGAGGAGGCCATCGACTTCCTGGACAAGCTTCTGAGATACGATCAACTGGAGCGATTGACGGCACGAGAAGCTATGGACCATTCTTTCTTCCAGCCTGTGTTGGAACGCAACTGTGCTCCGCCCCCTCTCCCAGCAGGCTTGAATGGAAACGGCTCAGGGAACCCTTCAACATCCTCAATCGTTCCTGGAAACGGCAACGGCGGATTACCTGGCAATGGGTCAACGTTTGCATAGAGAACTAATGGAACTGTAAAGAATCCACCCCCTTCCCTCACCTTTAACCTAATCCAAAAGTGCCCCATTTGAAGTTTCCCGTGCTATTTGTAGCCCTAATCTGCCAAGACATAATCTAGTCACTTTGAGTACGACGTGCATTGACGCAAACAGTTACGATTTTCTCAATTTTTCATTCATAATTCATCTCTGTGAGGATGCTTGTAACATTGCCCAGATTACGATAGCTATACTAGTTCTCTTGATCTTTCATTAGCATCCCAATTTCCGGTTAGATTTCCAAGTCGAAGCTAAAATCAATTGAAGTTGTAGATTGTGTTTTAACGTGCTTAGTCCTTTAAAGAAAGCAGTGGCCGCGCATTTCGTCAGTGAAAAATAACGACCCCTAAAATATCCCAGATTGCGTAGAGCAGTGAAGTAGTTTTCAAGCCCCATCTAGAGAACCCACCAATTTAGAGAACTCACTCGTTACAACTCAAACCCCCAGTCAAAAGTATACTGTAAATTATTAAGAGAGGTGAGACACTTTGTGAGCGTATGATCTAATGGTTAAGTATCCATTCTCTAGCTAGCAGTTAAATTGATAGGTATTTCTGTTGTAGCTAAAATAACAAACAAAAAACAGGTCTTCTAATTCTTAATTTTATTTTACTAACCCTATTGCGAGACGAATCCAAAAGTGTAGTACGAGAATGAAGAGCTGTTCAATGAATGCCAGATGCCTGGCTATAAATACGCTTTGATTTTTACTTCCGATTAATGGATACAGTATCAATACGTTAAATACAATTTCGTGAAATTTTCTTTTGTATGAAAAAGTTAGTCGTTTGCGCTATTACTTTGATACATGTTCGGAACTTTTTAAGATAAACGCTGATTCAGGGGTGGATCTCGGTTTCTGACTTCTAGTTTTGACCATGTCGGTTTTCCGAGCTTTCTAATAACGCCATAAAGACCGCTTCACCAAATTTTTCTGCGCCAAAAGCGAACTTTTAAAAACAGCCCAAAAGTTCCGTTTTGGGAACTTGATGTATGATTTTGGCCGAAGAATAGCTACTTTGTTCGCGCTCTGCCCCTCTAAAGTAGAGCGTATTTACATCTTAAGAAGACTCTAAGCGTTGCTCAACCAAAACTGAATGTCGTAAAATAGTATCTCTATTGTTCGAATACTTGAGGGAGTAAGTTAGCTTACTGATCGCTCTCTTTCACTTGAACAGGAAATAATGCAGACTTTATTCTATGATTCAAAATTTTTCGTGGCGTGAAGTTTTGATACTTGCGATAGCAAGTGCGTTGCAACCATGTACTAGACTTTTTTCCCGGAAAATTTCACAGAACTCATACCCTGGACTGATCTCCGAGTCAGTTCTGTTGGAAAAACTAAAAACTGCACCAGACGCATTTTAGCATTTCAATTATCAGTTCTTTTTAAATTAGCGAACTTCAGTGAGCAATAGTGTTATGCTACGAATATTCTTTTTTCTAATCTAAATCGCAAATAGTAGTGCCACTTTCGGTACCTGGGGCATATTCGAATAGAAAGAAGTTAACACAGTTGATATATTTTAAATCCAGCAAATGAACAGAAAAGAAGCAATTTATTTCTAACAAAATAACAATAATCAAAACTCGATTTCAAAAGTTTTCTAACTCAATATATCTCGCAATTTTTTTGAAATGTATAGTTTATACATAATGTTGCTTTATGCTGTCCAATTTATTAGATGCAAAATTTGTGTGGATGCCTTTATTTTGTTATATTCCAAATTATAACTTGCAAAATGTTGTCCATATGTATTTGCTGCACCGCATTGGCAGGTTATTAGCATGTGAAGCTGATGTATTTAAGCCTGTATTAGAATATAGTCAAGAGAACGTGGCACAGTTGCGAAGACAGGGCACTCTTAATATCCAGATCGTAGGATCTAATCAGCCACAGCGAAAGATTTAATTTTCAAGGCTTATTTATACTTTTTCTTTTCTTGTTTTACTTTATAGGGCTGCTTTTATGTCATTTTGCTGCTCGTGTTTGTGATGATTGCTTAGTGATTGATTGAGGGTTGCATATGCGATGTTTGTTTCCGCGAATAGCAAGCGTCAGTTTGGAACTCAGAGTATTTTTGTAAACACCTTGTTCAGAAAATTCAATGAATCATCTCAAATCTGTCTGCGCTTTCGTCAACCAACAGACATATTTTGAACATATTCAAAATAATTTAATTAATTTTTAGGTCTTTAAAAATTATTTTACGAATTACGAAGGGAGTTTTATTTCCTTTGTGTGCAATCGGGTACTAGACCTATTCTTTTCCGTAATTAAGTTTGTCCACAGGATCTTCACTTCTAGATGATCTTTCATCTGAAATGCTCAATTTCTTGAAAATTCAAATGATAGTACTATCACGTAGCTAGTAATTAATTCAAATTCGTTTCAGGTTGTAATTATGTTTTCAAAAAAAAATCACCATATTTTTTCGGGTTCCTGGTTTTCGTCCTATTTTCTGTCGGTTCAATTTCCCTTTTTTTAAATGCCATTTTTTATCTGGTGGGGATTTTTAGTTACTTTTTAAAGCATGGGTTTTATTCCAATTTGAACAGTTTTTACGATCACTGAAACTTCACAAATTTGTACATTTATCATGTCTGATTTTGTTTTTTTATTTTCATTTTTTTTCTCGTTTTTTTAAAAAGATATTCAAACAGTTTCGCTTTTTGTTATATCGACTTAGTCAACTTATTTTGTGTAATTTTGAGGGCAAAATAATTATCTTTGTGATTATGTTTTTCAGTTTGGATGAATCGCAAAAACTTCTAAATTTAATGAATTGTTATGACAGCAGTTTTGTTTTTGGCTCAACAGATATCGACCCAAAGTTTGTCGCCTTTATTGCCGCCCGATACAAATATAAAGATGATAGAAATATAAAGTTTTTGCAGCTCTAGTTTTTCATGTTTTTTTCAAGTTATTTTTTTTTTCCAATATAGTAGTTTTTTCCAATATAATTTTTCAAAAGTTTTGTTAACTGTCTTTTTTTTTCATTCACAATTTTGTATCGCAATGTGTTTTTTGCAGCTCAGCTTCGTCTCTGTGTTAACGAAATATTCTTGTGAGTGACAGCACCAGCGCTTTATTGCAGGAAAATTGATCACTGTACATGAAGTTTATACAGCCGAGTTACCAAAAAAACTGTTTGAAGAGCTGAGATGAAATTCTCAAAAAACTTGCTTTTTAGTGTCAATACGGATGAAATCTATATAGTTTTTTGGCGTGAATTATAATTTAATTGAAAACTCCTAACGGCATGATAAGACAATAGCGTGTAGCTTCACGTGCGAGAAGCTATTAGGTGTCTTCCTCTGTAGCTAATTATAACTTTTTAGCCCATAAGGAAAAGTGACCAAATTTCGACATTTTGGTTTTTCTGTTTCGGAAATGCTTTCGCAAAGTGACCGTGGTCTATTCGATCTTTCTGTGCGACCGTTGCTATTGTCATTGGTTTTGCAACCGGGTGCTTGACGTTGAAAGTATTGCTCCAAGAATTCGCAAAACTTTTCACGTTTGTTTGTCGGCCTAAAACCGCAAACTTTTCACGTTTGTTGTTGGCTTCGACCTGCTTTTTGCAAGCCGGATTATTTCTGCTTTTTCCGATTCGTGGGGTTTCTTGTTTTTTCTTGAATTAGTTACTGCTGCTCATATTTTTTTGAAGATCGGTTCTTTTCTAACAGCAGTCCGAATGCCATTAATATCATTCTTTGTGGTAAAAGTGATTGAGTTCCCAGACTTTTAAGCGATTAAATCGCGGTTTTTTCCAAATTTTTAAAATAGTAATTTTGTTGGTCGGTTTATCTGTTTTTATCTTTGTATTTCACTGTGCACAGATGGTGTAGAGGTTGTAGAGAAGTTTCCGACAAGTAGACAGTTCAAGTCGCGACCGAAACACTTCTTGATAAGTTTTTTTTAGTTGCTGTCTGTTTGTTTTATGTGTGTCTGCTCCGGTGAGTCGATTTTGTAGCCAAGATGAATTTTTTGTCCAAGTTATCAGTCTGTAGTTAAACTTCTTACCTAGGTTTTTGACAACTATATGCGTAACGATCGATGTGGAAATTGTCTTTGTTGAATTGTTTTTTGGGTTGAATGATATCTTTGGTTAGTTTCTGATATGTTTTTTCTTGAATTGCTCAATATAAGCTGGTTCGACAGACCATTTTTGTGATGCATTTTTGTGATGCATATAGGCTTTTTTTTTGTGATGCATTGTTTTTTAAATAACTATGCTGTTGGTTTTTCAACTGGTTTCCGTCTGAAGTTAAGGCACAGTTTCTGGTCTGTTTTTCTCTACAATTACTGTATGAGCCGATTTGAAAACCATTTCTGATATTTTGCGTTCAGGAAGGTTTTTTGTCGAAAATCTTTTTTTTTGTCGATACTTTCTTGATATATCAATTTTCACATTTATCTAACAATTTTCTTGCAATTCGTGTGCTTTGTATATTTGAAATTGCACATATAAGCAAAATGATTTTTTTTAGCTTAAATGTTTTTCTAAAGAAAACAATTATTTTGACGGCCCAATTTTGACACGTCAAGAGTTGTCTCTTTGTTACCGCTTTGTAAGTTTTAATTTGATGCTCATTTTACAATCAACTGTTTTACTATTTGGCATATTTTCAAGACATATTTTGGAGTTTTTCCAAGTTTTTGGCATATTGTGGAGTTTTTCAAGACAATCAAAACAAATTTTTAAGAGTAATGAGCGTAGTGATATAGGTCTTGCTGATTTTTTTTTGTTTTTTTTTTTCACGAAAAAGTCTTAAAATATTGATGCACTTAGGTATAAAGCACTTTTTGAGTTCAATTGAAATTCATGTGCCGAAAGTGACGTAATAGCACTCTCCAAATACGAACGTGGAAATGGCGCAAAAAAAGGTGAACGATTTCTAGTTTCGAGAGTGGAATTTATTTTTGAGATTTCCCAGCAGAATAAAAACTTTACCTATTGATCCAATTTTCTCAAGTTGGGTTCATGTTCTCAAAAAAGATTCGATCATAAATTGTTTCAGGAATTCAAAGAGCTTAAAGGGCATCTATTTTTTTTCGAAATTCGAAAGTGGAGATTTTTCCAAATAAGTCAATGTTTTTTTGTTTTCTTGCGTTCATTACTCTTTTCCAATTTTCGATTGGCTATGTTCGAAAAAATTTGATGAATCATTTTTCAAATTTAATTCTTCATATTTTTTATCGCAGTCTAGAGTTTCTGTATCGCTGGTAGTGGGAAGCTCCGCTTGCCTGTATCATAATTTTCTATACTCGGTGGATAACTTTTTCGAACTTTTTCGGCCTTTTTTGTTGGATTGTGACTGCGTGCGTTTCAAATTTGTTTTTACCGCGAACAAATTTTTTCTGCGTGAAAATTTTTTCGGGCTAGTTGCGGTTAGCTAATTTGGACGTATTGGTTTATTTTTCCCGCAATTTGTAGCGTTTTTTGATTGCAAAGATTAATCTCAGTGATTGTTCCGAATTTTCAATTATCCATCTGACTCATTGATGTCCTGAGTTAGATTTTTGAGGTTTTATATCAATGTGTAGTGTTGACTACGAATCAATCTGGCTCAGAAATCATCCCAAAGAGACATGATATTTGGTTTTTATTTTGCAATTTTAGGCGCAACATATAGCAATTGGTTTTGTCTTGAGGCTTAATAAGTTTTTTTTTCGGGAGAATTTTTATCGATTTTTTAATCTATTCATACCAATTGAAGATCAGTCGCAATATACAGAGCTTGTCATGATACGAGTTTTGTTATATGACAAATTTGCGCATGCGGTAGAGCAAAGTAGACTTGATTAGTTACATATTACTCGATAAACAACGGTGCAGAACTTTTAAAAGGTTTGCGCTTGAAATCTGAATTTTAATTCAATGTAACCAATTGGGAAATTCATATATTCGCGAAAAAACTATTTTCCCGAACGTAAATGTAGCACCAAGTAACGCAATTTATATCAAAATATCATACTCTATTCTGTATATAGTTCACAAAGTGAAGCATTTTAACAATTTCAATAATTATCGGGTCTTGGTAATTTTGTACGAAAAATTACATAATTAAGTCTAATATTAACTATGCAAAAATCAGGAGCAGAATTTGGTTATATATATAATTACGTCATCATCATCATCATCGCCGACAAATGCAAACGTTTCACTTGATTGATTTGAGATTCATTCTATAGTGACATAATAAGTAGGCTATAGTATGGCATTTTGGGTTAAAGTGTGATTGTAGTGGTATCGTATCATTCCGATTTGATCGATTCTCGGTATTGTTCACATGTTGTTCACTCATGGTGAGTCACAGTTACGTCAAACGCCTCGGCCGTCTCGTTGATAGGCTCGTAGTTTTGCCGAACGTCTTCGCTTTTCATTTCGTCTATACGTTTTCCAGTGCAGAACATGCAAATAGGCAAACCCACTAAAAGGATACTGAGTACCAAGCATACCCAAATAACACTGGCACTCCAACCCATGCAATTAGTGTGTTTTACACAGTTGTCGTGAAATACACTGGTAGTAATTGCGGCGACCACGATTAACCAGATAAATAAGGATATCCCTGTTAAAATAAGTGCACAGAATATCAGCTGATTGAACAGCCTTTTGCATAGTAGAACTACAGGCACTAGAATTAAAGGCAGTAAGTATATTTGGGCGATGATGAGAAAAGCTCTGGCGGCCACGTAGGATGAATAGCTGTCGTCGAAGAGAATTATACGCACGTCTTCTCGCACCAAAAGCTCCTTTGTTATTTCTTCACATTTTTCTGAAACCAAAAATATTCAATATTTAGAACACTGAAACAAGTCTCAAGTTAAAGGATGTTGGTATAGGATGTAGTTATAGGGGTTCCATGACAATCTACCTGATTCGAGTTTACCCTTTGCGATTATACCCTATACTAATCTACCCTATATTCCAATCTACCCTATGACAAATACCCAATGTTCTATAAATAGTTCAATTGGTCAGAGATAACTGAGTTGACTATCCGGTTTAAGGTCGCCGGTGGGCGCGCTACGTTAACCGGCTCTTATTTTGCATAGATTCCTACCCTCTGTAGTCAAGCTCGCAACACGTTGGCGGGACTGCGGCTATCACTATTTTGCTGTTATCATTCCGTCTTAATTTTGGCGTAGGGTAGATTGGCATAGCGTAGAATGGCATTGGGTAAAATGGAATAGGGTAAGTTGTCCGGGTACCGTTATAGGATGTTTCAGAAAAAGATAGCGTATCAAATAAATTTTTGATCAGTTAGCAATGGGTTCTTAAGCTGTTTTTGCAACTCTCTGAGCTAGTATCTAGTTTCTGCGTTTTCAAAAATGAGAATTGTTATTTTTGAGCCTGATAATTTTAGACATTTAGTTTAGGTTGTATTCAAGACATTTGTTCGGGTTACCCATCGCCGCAGCAGTATAAATTTGTTCTAAAGGCGCTTGCGGTGCCAAGATATACTTAATTTGGTGGGGGAGCGGGCGCCGTTTTTGCCCTTGGCCCGTTTTTTTCAAAAATTTGTTTGCGGCACAGAAAATTTGATCAAAGTAGGCTAGCTATAGTAATGTAAGCGAGCGCGGGAAATCAATTTGGTTCTACCTTAAGAGAGCGTCCACAATATTTTGGAAACATTTTAATTTGGTTCCAGTCGCGTTTCGAAGGAGTAATTTTAAAAATTTCTATCAGCGATTAATTCAGCTATTTACTGGTTTTTCATGGGGAATTTATACGATGAAGTAAGAGGCATTTTTCAAATTACATACCGACCTACTTACATCGTTCTAACTTGGGCCTTTTTTCTGTGACGAGAGAGATGTCAGCTTTTTCACCGTAGCCGGTCAGTTCCCACCTTGGCGAGGCGGATGACCCGGACCGCTGCAACCTTGACCTTAGCGTGATATTTGAGGACCATGTCCGGGTGGCATTGAACCATGATTACATTAGGGCTTGGCCACCTTAGTATCTAGTCTTTTATGACAATTTGTACGAGAATTTGCATTTAGAACAGTTGTTTAAATCATTCACTTGTTCACACTGACTTAGCTCAGAGTGATTTCATTTTAAAGCAGTAAATTTCATTCGAAATAATATTCAAAATCGTCTTTTTGTAAAAACCAGATGGTGACTGGAAAAGCCGAATTTTTTTGTTGTAACCATGATAATGATGACCGTGTGGGGTTGCGCGTAATTTAAATAGCTTGTTAAAGCTATTATATTGGCCTCAGTTCTTAAAATATTATCAGCGCTTCTTAAAATTTTATCAGCGCACAATTGGATATTTTGAAATTTGGAAACGACGAAAATCGAAGGCTCGTCGACTTAAGAGTTGAACGCTTGTACTTTCCTCAAAACCAAGTCAACTTTTTATTCTTAGATAACTTTGCGGCAATTGTTTTGATAGCGTAATGTAAATTTACTGACCTGCTCTGTCATCTGTACAGAATTGCCAGATTCCCCCGTAATGTTCAACAGTCCCATTCTTGTCGACTTGCTTCGAGTAATAGCCCTCATTTGTGTGTCCGAATATTGACAGACATCCGATCAGAAATGCACTCATCCAGTACGCAAACAGAAGAGCCATGAGGTACATTTCGTGGTTGTGAATAAGCTCCTCCCACTCAATTTGGTCGTAGAAGCGTCCCGCAAACCGAGTCCGTCTCGTCTGGATGGACCGTGAGTCATTGGCGGCTGCAGCTGATTTCGTGTCGTCGAAATCATGAGACTTCATTTCAGACTTCACTTTAGAAAAGTTGAGACTTGAAACTCATCGCATCGCACATAGTGGAAAAGTGATTTGGTTTTTCATGACTCTTGATTTTCTCTGACTTGAGTGAACCATCTCAGAAACGACCTGCTCGGTTGGAGTACAAAATTATTGACCCCTTTTGCCGCTATTGATATGACTGACTTCTGAGAATTGACTTCCAGACCATGATTTTGATTTAGCGTGTTTCTGTCTGCTATGAGTAGTTTTTACGCGTGGTCGAGTTTTATTGTCGTGCAATATTGCTCAAATTTATACTGAAGAATTTTTAAAATGAGAGTATATCAAAAATATGTCTAGAGTGGGGCGCTGTTTTGTCGACCTGTGACGTTGAATTTCAGTCAGGTAATCCGCATAAATGTCATAAAAAGTTTTTCATTCTTTTTCAGAATGAACCGTGGCAACCCGAATTTGACATCGGACCAATTGGATTCCCTTCGACTGGCGATCCGGTCTCGACTCGAACAAGAAGGGGCCCAGGATGCGATCAGAGAAATTGCAAATAGATCAATGGAGAGACGTAGCGATGGAGAAATTGAACCCAGAGAAATGCTGGAAGATTTCAAAAAGACTGGAATTCTGGAAACTATTTTGGGTCAGCTGAATGACTCGCGAAGTCACACACAGATCAACATCTCAGCGATGTCTCAGGATTTTATAGAGAAGCAGCAGTTGACAAAGAAGTCGGGTTATCAAAAAGCGGTTAAAACTGAATATGTCAATCAGCCTTCCATGAATCCATCCAAGAGGTATCTATATGTTTGTCTCCATGGAGGAAAGGCGTTCACGGGATACTCCGAAGAATCAAGTGCTTTTCTGGATTCAAAGGCAACAATTTCGGTTGCTATCGATTTTAGAAAGCAGAGGTCTGTATCAAAGTCAGTGTCATACTGTGTGGAGCCGGCTTTCGATGACTCGTTTCTTCTCGTCTTAGCTGATGAAAAGAAAAATTCAGGCGGCAAAGCGGCTGATTTGAATAGCATGCTATCAATGACTGACCCGTTGCATGTTGTGGTCCTAAAAACAGACGCATTTGGAGCGAAAAGTGTCATCTCGTCTCAGTTCATCGAGTGGAGGCATTTATTGCATACAAGCGGGATGAAAGAGAGAAATGCACTGCCTGTTTATGGCGTCGGGGGTGAGTCGAAAATAGTTGCCGGGGTTCTCGATATAACACTAGAGGTCATGCCAGGTTTAAGTTCGGCTCTGCAAAAGGAAGTAGTTTCGACTCAATTTGAACTAGAGCGTAGTCGAGTTAACGAGAAAAATAAAGGTTTCTTTAACTATGCTAAGCAATGGTGGAAAGAGTACCTTCAAATCAGGCCTGAAAACAAAAATAGACTCGTGAAAATATTTGCTCAAGATGAAAACGGCACAACTCGGCCTGTTTGTTCGTTCGTGCGACCACTGAGAACCGGAAGAGTATTAGAGTCGGCTCAACAATGCTTGCGATTCGTGTCGGTTCTGACATGCGAGGAGGCTGACGAGGCACTGGGTGGGACAAACCAAACGGACTCGTGGCAAAGTCTTTTTTGCACGTTAGTGCAAAACAAGGGAAATACAGCCGATCATGTTAATCTATTATGCAGCTTACTGGTTGGGTTTGGTCTGAACGCATACGTGTGTTTTGGTACAAAATCAAAGGAACAACTGCATTCTTGGGTTGTGGTCATAGGTGTGGACAATGTCGTGACGTTTTATGAAGCAACAACCGGACATAAATACATCCATAACTATCATGGTCATGATGATCTTGGACTGAAGAACAACCACCAGGGAAATCATCAAAACATGCATCCCTACATGACTATTGGATGCGTGTACAATAACAGGGAGTTCTATGCGAATGTCCAGCCTTCGGATCGTGTATCTAATTGCACGTTTGACTTGCTGAATGATTACAACTGGAAAGCAATGGATAGGGAAGTTCTGGACTCCGTATGTGGTTCAGAATCGAATCCGTTTTGGAGGAATATTCCAGTTATCCAGACCCCCAGTCTGGATACGACTGTCATAGCGGATAACCTGGAGCTAGATCTGATGAACATAATCGCAGATCACCGAAACAGTCTCGGACTAGATTCGGTGTTTGACGCTGGACTCGCTTACATCTTGCAGCCAGCACTTAGTAGCTACGAACTGGAAAGAACGTTGGGAGTCTCGGTTGGGTCTGATGAGTTCCAGAATGCGATTAGACAGTACATTCCAGACGGAGAAACCTTCAAAGGGTGTCCTATGCAGGTTGAGTCTGTAAATGCCAAGAGATTGTTCAACAAGTGTCTCAAATCGCCGAGCTGCGAGGAGATCATCTCCTGCAGAGGTGATTCAGTGAGACTGGCAGTCAGAGTTAAAGTGGTCGCGTTTCCAGAAAACGCAGTGTCGGTCTGGCTTATGTTAGCCTGTAAATACAAATCAATCGTGTAAATAGAAACTAGGTTGATCAATTCTTGTAAATACATGTGGATGTTAGTTTTACTCTGAAGGTTTGCGCAATAAATCTAACCATTTGAATATTTTTTGATAAATCTTGCCACTTAATTAAGAAGAAGAGGAGGTTTGCCAATCATCATAATACCAATCTTCCTGGGTATTCGTCTTTGATTTTTCTTGATAATTCGGCTCAGCTTTCAGAATTTCAGACAATGGCTATGCTGGACAAGATAGGTGAAAAGATTGAGAATCTCAACCTGGGAGGAAAACCGAAGACCCCAACAACGCCTTCCAGTAATGATCAGACTTTCAAAGTGGAACGAACCTTCGATCCTAGTCAATACAACATTGAAGACGGAGAAACGACTTACATGGTGGATCCGCAATCTCGGAAAGACTCCAAACTGATTGAGTTGATGACAGCTTTATTGGATTGGATCAATAATGAGCTATCCCAGTACGGAATTGTAGTCAAGGATATCGAAGAAGACTTGTTCGATGGGTTAGTCCTCGGTCAGTTGCTTGTTAAACTAACTGGGCGTCAGTATGATTTCCAGGAACTGACTGGATCTCTGGTGGAACAACGACAGAAGATGGAAAGAATCGTGGAAGAGTTCAACTACTTGTTGCAACTAGACCAGTCTAACGATTGGGATGCAGAATTAATTCACGAGAAGGATCTAGTTGCAATATTGAAATTTCTCGTTAGCATCTCAAGACAATTCAAAGCACCGGTTCGGATACCCCCCGATGTCACAGTCCGGTTGGTTGAAGTTACCAAGAAAGAGGGCAAATTAGTCCATAATTACGTAACTCTCCCAATCACCGGCTCAGAAATTGACGGAATTTTCCAAGAACCAGACGCATTTGACGAGCTGTTTGAACAGGGATCGAAGGAGAAGTTACAAACTGCGATTAGTATTCTGAGAGCGTTCGTGGAAAAGATGATTCGAGATATTGACTATGAAGTGAAGGATGAGCCTCTGGAGGTAATGATGCATGATGGTGTTTACTTCATCTTCATAATAGCAATTGTGGAGAACTTCTTTGTGCCTTTCAACAACATTCATCTCACGCCTAAGAGCAAAGAGGAAAAACTGCAGAATATGAAGATTGCGCTTCAACTCATGCAAGATTGTCAAATTGCAAAGCCGAAGATAGTTCCCGAGAATATCGTGGAAGGGGACTTGAAATCCATCCTCAGATTTCTGTACATTATCTATGCTCAGAGCAAGAGATACTAACTCGAACTTTTAGTATTTTAAGAAATTAATAACCTAATTGCATCAAATGAAATAGTACATCATAAGAATATTTTAAAAAACTAACAAATTTTTAAGAGCGTATGTTTCGCTCATCTTAGCTTTTAAATATTTTCATTTCAAAGATTTAGATAGGCTTTTGATACATGTTTGAATGCTGATTACAATTAATTGAAAATCTAAAATTCGTTTTTTTTTTTTACAAAAAGGAACTTTGATAAATTTGAAGTGAAAGTTGTTTTCTGCGTGTTTGTAGTTAAGTAACGTAGCGAAAATGTCCTTGAGGATTATTCTGTTGAAGTTCAAAATTCTCAAGGTCTGATCTGTGATCGGTTGCGTTTAAATTTTTTCCTGCGATGTTCATGTGTTAAGTCTCAATGCGATAAAAAATGTTTATCCAAAAATTCAAAAAACTTTTTGAATGTTAATCAAATACTTATTTCCGGCTTCTTTGAGTTCCTTGACACGTCTCCAGTTTTTTTGGGGCCATTTTTTTAGGTCCAAAATTTGCAATGTTTATCGAAATATTATTTTTTAAGGTCAGATAGTGTTTTGTTATTCCTTATTTTTTTTAAGATAACAAAGTTAAAAGAATTTTGTTTCGATATTTTTCTTTAGTTTGTTTATGAACTTATCAGTTGACAGCACAATTTGACAACCGTTTTTGTAGGTTTGTTTTTGGATATAACAATCTATTCATGACAAGTATCTTCGTTTAGGTTTAACTAGAAGAGAGGAGAGCTCGATTTGCTAGCCAAATTTTTTCAGTCTGATTTTCTATCTTGCGATTTTTAAATAGCTCTCTTGCTCAATCTGTAAACGATAGATTTTCCCTCGCTTTAGCTTCCGTTATAGTCTTCGGATATATGGCCCAACCTCTACCGCTTTTTAAGAGTCGTTGAACGTAGTTCAGACTCCTATATAGGTCGTAATGGTTTTTTTTTCAGGATAAGTCCTAAAATTTGTTCTATTTCAAATATAACTTTTTCGCGGTCATATTTTGTTTTTCCTTAAGTTCCGCTTATTTCCTCTTTTAAAAGGAAGGCAAACTCCACTCGAAAATCAAAAGTAGGAAAGTAATGAAAAATGTGATCGACTTCTAGTTTCGAAAATGGAATCTGATTTTCTGATTTCCCAGTGAAATCAAGAAAATGACGATTTTTTATAAATTGGGTTAATTTTATCCATAAGTTTCAAAATTTTTCTACAAGTTCATAGAGTTTTAAGACAATCTATTTGTCTTCTTCGAAATTCGAAAATAATTTTTTCAAAAAATAAAGAGTCATTATATTTTCTGTTTCATTTGATCATTGACTCTTTTCCAACTGTCTGTTGACTATGTTTATGGTTCAACGGAATAAAAAAATTCAAGAATAATTTTTAAAGCTATCCTGCGTTTCGCTATTGGAGAGCCTATTTTTTCGTTCAGCTTCCGGTTTTCTGCAGAAAAGTTGAAGTTGCACGACAAAAATATGCTCTCCAATGAGTAAAAACTCGTCAATTGATACTTGATACCCTTCATAATTTTTTCGTTTGACACCTTATTGACGTAGCGCTGTCAAAAATCATTCTGCTTAACTAAAAATACTACTTATTGGAATTTTATTTTTAATTTTGTTTCAGTGCCGTAGAGAGGTTCAGTAGCGTCGATGTTCATGGGTCCTTAATTTTGAGCAAAAATAAATTGGTTTCGACAGAGGTGCACGTTTTAATTTCTAGCATCTGACGGAAATAAACTTTAACGGAAGCTTAGAAGTCCTTGTTTCACTTTTCGCCCGTTTTTTCTATTATAAACTCATTGAATTTAAAGTGTTTAGAGCATGTCCATGATAGGAGTTTTTCTCTGAAAAAATATGTGTTGGCTCAGCCAACTAGGAGTGGGCGAATGAACAATTATATTTACACCGAATGATAAAACTAGAAACTTCGAATAGTATAGATGAATGAAGGGTTTTTTACTTAATAAACTTAAATGGGTAATTGTTTTTTTTTTTTACAATTGCGATTAGCAAGCGTTGTCAAACTGGAATATAGACTTCTTTCGAGTTAAGAACTTGATTAACAGAATCAATTGGATCACTTGTATCTTGGTTCATAATGAATTCAAACTTCTATGCGTTCCCCGCTAACTCAGAATAGAGGTAACGAATATGCCTGGGGCAGCAAAGCTCCTGGGTTTGAATCTGACCAGGACCTGTTTTTTTTCTAAACGGTAAATATTCTGTTTCAAATAAAATTGCCGGCCAATGATTTTTCTGCTTATCTGTTGTCGGTTTTGATGTCACATCTTGGAAACGTTTTATTTTTTGCTGCGTGCATGTTTCTTTAATGTTGCTTTTATTGTTTGATTTACTCGTACAATTTGTAATTTCTACTTATTTTGACCCATTTGTTGATTTTTTTTTTCGTTTTTTCAAATACTATCCCTCTCAAATCTAAGTTTTTGGTTTCAATGAAAAGAATGGTTTTTGAAAGGTCTCTGTATGAGCGGCTACGCCCAAATTTTTCTACACATAAAGTTATGTCCCTCATAAAAGTCAAATTTTTGATATTTAAATGTTTTGATTTTTTTTTGAGTTTTTCTCGAAAACGAATAAGCTCTGAAATCTGATAGTGTGGGTTCAATAGAGATGATGGGAAGTGAGAAGCTCACCTTTTTAAGCGGCCACTCACAATGTTTTTTTATGTTGAAAATAATCGGCCTCGGAAAAGTCAAATTTTTCATTTTTTGACCTTTTTTTAAACTTTTTGAATGGTCTCGAAAATACACTGCCATACCGAGATTTTGGGCTCAATTCAAAGAACGGGTTGTGGGAAGCCAATTTGCCTATGTGACTTCTCGTAAATTTTTTTGACACCAAAAGTTATGACCCTCGGAAAAGTCAAAACGTTGATTTTTTGACATTTTTTAAAGAAGTTTTTGACTACCCTCACAAATCTTAGATTTTGTTTTCAATCGAAACTACAGGTTGAGTAAGTCCCTTCTGCTTAAGACGCTTTGCCGCGTTGTTTCACATAAATGCTATTGTTCTTGAAAATCTCAACTTTATGATTTGACCGTTTTTTGGACTTTTCTCGCTAACTCTCCTGCCAAATCTGATATCATAGGCTTAATCGAAACAACAGGTTGTTGAAAGCCAGCCTTTATGATTTGCTATGCAAACTTTATAGGAGATAAACAAAAACCGTTGTTTCTGTTAGAACCACAGTTTTTTTTATCTCCTAAGGAAAATTGATTATCTCAATTTTTTTGTACTCTTCTTACTTATTTTAGTAGAGAAACAAGTAAGGTTTTGGGCAACGTCCTACTTTTGATATCTTATTGTTGGTATTGCATGAGTTAAGCAAATTCGTTCAATATTAAACAGGTATCTCCATTTTCAGCTGGGCCCCTAGTTGTTTTTTATCGAGACAATTGAAAATAAATGTTGAAAAAAAAACTAGGTAAAACATCATTTTCAATTGTTGTACGTAAGCAATTTACAAAATTGCTTACGTATTATCTAAATTGACGATTATGTGAACAAAGTTATTTACGGGCAAAAAGTCCTTTGCACGGTTGCAATAATTTGCATAATGTAAGGGTAAAGACATCGAAAGCCTCACCACAAAAAACCATATTTGAGCATGAAAAACTTCTAAGAAACATTTTCCTGACACAGAGGCGAAGCAGAGCTTCGCAGCACTTGCGATAAATCCCAAGCTTTTAAAAAAGAATGAAAAAAATTAAATGTTGAAAAAAAACTAGATAAAACATCATTTTTTTTTTCATTCTATTTTAAAAGTTTAGGATGTATCGCAAGTGCTGCGAAGCTCTGCTTCGCCTCTGTGCCAGGAAAATGTTTCTTAGAAGTTTTTCATGCTCAAATATGGTTTTTTATGGTGAGGCTTTCGATGTCTTTACCCTTACGTTATGCAAATGATTGCAACCGTGTATTAGACTTTTTGCCCGTAAATAACTTTGTTCACAGAATCGTCAATTTAGAAACTAAGGAATTTGGCAAATTGATTACGTACAACCTATATCTTAGATATATGTGCCATCACTTCTGAAGATGTTCATGATTGCTTTGTAGTTAATGCATGCATGAGTTGTTACAATGCATAATTCTTGAAATGTCATTTTTTTTCTCTGAAAAAATTTCATGCTTATTGGGTGTCGGCATTATTTCTCTCGGCTTTATTACCTTGTTTTTTCCGATTAGTTTTTAGTTTGTTTGTTTTTATTTGAAATTGACCCTCAAATTTGTCAATATATTTGCCAAAACTTGTTAGGTACTCCTTCAATAAAATATATTTTGCCCGAATGATTTTTTTTCACAGAAGGTTTGTTCGTAATTTTACTCGCTGCGTTGTGAATGGCTTGCTATTTTATTTATATCCTTTATGTTGAACATAAGTGAAATCATGTGTCTACGCACAGTTTTCTTGATATATTTTTTCGACAACAGTTTTATTGTAGCGGATTAAATGCTCTGTGGCCTATAATTCTTGCAACGATAACAGTTTGGAGGAAAGAAAAGAAAATGATCATCTTTGCTCAAAATTTTGAGATTTTAGTGTTTTAAATCATCAATTTCAGTAGTTTTCTGGCCAAGTTTCTGGATTTTTTGTTGTTTTCTCGTTTCTGTAGGTTTTTTTGTTCTCTCTAGTGTTTCTGTTTGTGAAGAAAAAAGGAAATAGATGTTTCTTAAACTGCATGGAATTTTTTCGTCTGTTCGTGTGGACCCATTTTCTAGCTACTGAGCGTCCTATTTTTTAAAATATTTAATTTGTTGTTAAGAGGTGCAAGGGTTGTCACAATTTTTTTACATACTTACTATCACAAAAATTTTTTCAAATCGAAAAGTTTATCTATTCAAGAGTTTGTACTCTAGCGATCAGCTTAGTGTGTTTTTGCGAACCTTTTTTTCTAACCTAACTCGCAAAGAAAAGTGTTCATGAAGCGTTTCACTGTAAGTAATCATTTATTTATTCATTTTATCATTTCATTTCAATCATTTCACTGTAGCATTGGAAATTGCATAGCATCTGTTTTCTGATTTATTTGTGGCTAGTGTGTAGTACTTATTAAGCTTCTGTGGCTGAGTTGTTAGTGCTTGAGACTCACTATCTCTAGGGCGCATGTTCGACGCTCAGATGTGGCCGAGTTTT